CTATCCTGCTTGCAAAGGATACTGTCTATCCGCCTGATGATGGAATCCCCTACAACTACAATCTGTCTTTTTGCTCCCCCCTCTTGAATTGCCTCCTGGACCATGGTGCCATGGTCAGTTGGCTCATCCTTCCTGCAGCCCTGTTCCTCATCCACGCAGGGAGCAAGTGCCTCATACCTGTAGGACAATGTCAAGGGCTGCGGCTCCTGTGTTCCTGTGTGCAGGGTCCCTCTACCTGCCTCACTCGCAGTCACGCACTGCTGTCCCTGCCCGACGATCGAATTAACATTAGTTAATCTACCAGGTGTGACTGCCTCCTGGAACACAGCATCCAGGTATTTCTCCCCCTCCCAGATGTGCCGCAGTGTTTGGAGTTCGGATTCCAGCTCATCAATTTTGAGCCGGAGCTCCTCAAGCAGCCAACACTTGCTGCAGATGTGGTCACTGCCGTTCTCAATGGGATCAGCTAGCTCCCACATCATACAGCTACAACACATCACCTGGCATGCCATCTCTACTTAGTTAATTATTTAAAATGAATTAGTTTTTTTTAGTTTTGCAGTGTTTTCTGCACCAGTAAGTTTACTCCATTATATACTCAAACAGACTCCAGCTTTGCCTTCCGACCCGCTCCCAGAGGATTTGGCGTCTGGGTGACCACCCCAAAAGATAAGAGAGATGAGGAAAAGAAAAATGCAAATAGCTTACCTGCTCACCACACTTAGTCGTTATTATTAAGTTAGAGGAGGTGGAAGGGTGGGAGACACTATGCGTGTAGTGTCTCGGGTATTAGTTATCTCCCAAATTTATTGGGTGGAAGCTTACCTTCCCAGGTTGCCCTCGTGCTTTCTCCCGGACTCCCACCGCTGAAACAACTGAAAGAAGGATTACATCAAAGTTGAGTCATGCTATTCGATTTTAAAAAAATCCTTAATTCAATTTCAAATCTAGGTGTCAAAAACTTATGAATCAAGTTGTAGCTAAAGTGTCCGTCTGTGTAGTTTATTTAGGAAATGTTGTAATCTGGGGCAACGCCTGGGAAGAACATACAAAACATCTAGAAGACCTGTTTATGCAATTACAGTTAACCGGTTTAGTCATTAATCTCACCAAAAGTGAATTTGCATAAATGTTAGTTACTAAGGCATTATAGGGCAAGGGAACTTTGTGCCAAGGACAGTGAAAGTGAAACATCTGTTTGAGGTCCCATTTCTCAAATTAAATGAGAAACCAGGAGATTTCTGGGAATGTGGGTTTTAACCAGAAATTGTGCCTAACTGCAGCACAATAGCTCTACCCTTAACAGTTCTGCTACAAAATCAAGCAAATGTATAATCTTCAGCAGAGTGCCTAAAAGCCTTTGATGGTCTGAAGGCAATCCTAATAAGTGAACTGATATTGGGTGCCCCTGAATTTACGACACAATTGATGCTAGTGACTTGGTTGGGGGAGGGGAATATAGTAGGTGCCATCTAATTGCAAGTTGATAAATCGAAACAAGTTGTTGATTTCAAAGCAGTCAAGAAAGATACTATGAGACTGAGTGGCATCAAGAGTCCTGGGTTGTGCTGATGTTTGTTACAAAGCTCCAAGTGCAGGGAATCAAAGAACCTAACTAAAATCTCTCTCTCCCCTTCTCCCTCCATGTGGCAGAAGCAAAAAAGGCATCAAAGAAAGAATTCTAAGACTGAGGTTTATAGACTTCCTACAGTGTGGAAGTAGGCCATTTGGCCCATTCAGTCCACACCACCCCTCCAAACAGCATCCCACCCACGCCCACCTCCCTACCCTATCCCTGCATTTCCCAAGGCTAACCCACCTAACTTGCACATCCCTGGACACAAGGGCAATTTAGCATGGCCAATCCACCTAACCTGCATACCTTTGGACTGTAGGAAGAAACCGGAACAACCCCACACAGACACAGGGAAAACACACAAACTCCACCGGCAGTCACCCAAGACTGGGTTCGAACCCAGGTCCTTGGCACTGCGAGGCAGCAATGCTAACCACCGAGCCACCTGTGCAACCCAACTACGAAAGTGAACAGTAACCATTGCTTTCTGAACATTAAGGTGTTATGATTTTTGACAAAATGGTACAATTTAAAGATGAAAATTATCAGGGGTTTGCAGGAATGCACAGTTGAGATTAAAATCAGATTACCGGAAATCTAATTGGATAATGGGGCAGGCTCAAAGGGCCGAGTGGCCTACTGGTTTTTATATGTTCTGAACTGTCATGATCTAGACTTTCGATCCTTGAAATTTTGTTTTCCACATTTCTTTTCTCAACCTAAATGTGTCTTGCAAGTGAATCAGTCCATTTTTAAAGGGGTATATTTTAAGTTGTACTGTGGTAGATCCTTTTCTCTGCCAATTTTTTTAAAAAGTTAAGAATGTTACGTTAGATAGTTATTTTCTGTCAATGACGAAACCTGGTATGAATTGCTTTTCGTCAGTCAATCAGGTAAAGTGGTCAGCTTAGTGGTCTAATTAGAATGGCATACATTTTCTGATTACTTGTAGATCAATGGGGCAGGATTATCGGAGCATCTTTCTCGTTAAGTCAAGTCAGTGTATACCAGAGAGCACACTGAAGCTCACTTGTCCCAGTCACGACTCTGCGACTGGGACATAATGACCATCAACCTTTGCAGTCAGAACACAATGCTCAAACCAGAAGCAACATAGACTTCAGACACAGTCACCACCTTCTGAGATGGACCAGTAATGTCACTAAAGAAAGAAATAATCACAAACACAGGCACATTCTTTATAAAGCAGTCTACTTTATTTCAAGACTAATAAAAAAATTTTGAGTAGAAGAATATCAACAGTATAAAAAAAGTACAAAACTGGCTCCATAGATCTCTAATACATTACAAAGTGCGTCACTAAAATACATCTTGCTGCACTAAACTAGGTCAAGAAGTGAAAGGAGACAGTGGTGTTTTCTTTTTGTTGCAGAGGAAGAAAAATAAATAATAATAAATAGAATGACAGGAGGAGGAAGCTCAGTTACAAAGCCCAGGGAATGAATTGCAAACCAGACCTCAAGCTTACATTCAGTCACAAACTGTGCAAACAGGGACTGAGTTACACCTGAACACGAGGGATGTGGGTGAAGTGGCCACTGTGATCTCACTCATCCCCTTCCCAAAACACTGTATGTGTACAGGCAGATGAAAAGCAAATCCCATCACTGTAGGAACCATAGGAAACAGAGATCAAACCCCGTCAAGTCTACAGAAAGGATACCTAAGTGGGATACATGCAAACCACAGAGGCTCGGGTGGAATCTCCTCCTAACCTTGCCCACTCACCCCTCAGAGTGGCACAGTCTGGATGGCGCAAGATAAATTTCTGTACATTTTTGACTCCCTGAAAGCTGTCTGCTATAATAACTGCTGCTTTGGCAACTGGTGGCCAAATTAGTTTGGGTGCTAGTTCCTCATTGTATAAATTGCAGGGGAGTTGATAGTTTGGAGGTTATGCTGCACAGAAAGCAGTCGTTCAGCTCCCTGTACTATTCCAGTTCTTTTTGCAAGGGCAGTCTAATCACCCACCGCACCTTCCTCCACTTTCCCGGGCCAAATCTTTCCATAGGAATATTCACCATTGACTATCATTTGCATTACATCTGGTAGCTTTGCATTTGGGATCCCTCATCAGCACAGAGTTGTTTACAACAGGCCGCTTGATTTCCTAGTGTTAGCTTCTATTTGCTGCATCAAACAGAACCAAACAGGCTGACGACTCCATTTGTTCAGCTGCAGAGCGTCGGGTTAGAAATGAGGACACCTCTATGAGACGGCAGGGTCTTTGTCAGGTCAGTTTGGGCATCTGCAGCTGGTCTCCGAGTGGTGTTGGCAGGGGGGAAGCAATGGGATGTCTTTCAGGCGAGGTTTTCTCCAGCTTTCCAGCTCTAACTGCAGTGGTCCTTCCACCAAGGCTAGGCCTACGGTCCGTTTATAAAGAAAACACAATCCTCCCACAACTGCAAACCAAAGCCAACCCGCTGGGTGGCTGGTTGTGAGCTGTGGAGGAGCAAGCTACTCTTGCACTCAGTGTCCTGCCTGCTCCCACATAAAAAGATTGACCTAATGGTTACAGAGTTGCTCACAATGGCATTCTCCCTTCAAACAAAACCAAATGGCAGTGAGGGAAGGGAACTGGTGATAAAACATTTGCCTACTATACTAGAGCAACAGCCAATCCTAATAAGTGACCAATGCTCACCTTTAAAGCAAAGTGGAAGACTTAATATGGCGCCGATAGATATTTTTCTACTTTCGCACTTTTGCAAGCTGTCTCAATACACAACAGGTGAACTACAGCAAACAAGAGCTGTTTCAATAGCTTCAGAGATAGTAGGAACTGCAGATGCTGGAGAATCTGAGATAACAAGGTGTAGAGCTGGATGAACACAGCAGGCCAAGCAGCATCGGAGGAGCAGGAAGGCTGACGTTTCGAGCCTAGACCCTTCTTCAGAAAATGAAGGAGGGGGGTCGAAG